AAACGATCACAAAATTTAAAAATTTTCCGGGTGGAAAATTATACCAATCAAACACACTTAATTAACAATTCCCTGGAAAACAATTTCTAGGAAAATATTTCCCCTGTAAAACATTTTCTTTCCACCCATTTTCCACCCTTACTATCAAACGGACCCTTAGAGAAAGATGATCTGATGTAACTTTCTCTAAAAATACTTTCAAAACTAAAAAAAACTATTTTAGAAATTAGTTTTCAAATAAACATTTAAAGTAACTTTTTTAAGAAGCAAAATCTAAATAAAAAGTCATCTCAAATGGCCCTTTAGACTCGCTACTTGAAGGAAATTTCGTAATTTTTTTTTTTAATTATACTTGAAGTTCGTAAAATCGACACTCGTCCTCCTTTACACACCCCAACAATAGGAAAGAAAGAGAACGAGAAAAAATATACAAGGAAGCAAGTACTTTCCTTCACGAGTCAAGTCGGATATTACACGCATCTTATTTTGAAACTATGAGCGTTGACCTGAGAATAAGTCAAACAAACAATAGTCCACGCTTTATTGTGTTCCATTTGTCAACTTCATCCTGCATATAAATTACAAAACAAGCACTACAATTCCAAGCTAACTACTTGAAAATTAAAATGGCAAATGCTTTCACCATTAATCCTCTCAGACTCTTCATTTTCTTCATCCTTTTAACTGATCACTTATATGTTGCAGATTTTATCAGTTCATCCGATCAAAACAGTATTAATAATGTCGATGAAATTAAAGTTGGAGTTATAGTTGATAAGGGATCATGGGTTGGGAAGACTATTCATGGCTGCATTTCCATGGCCATTTCTGATTTTTACGAGTTGAATAGTCACTACAGAACACGCATAGTTTTGCATGCTCGAGACTCTCAAGCTAAACCAGTTCGTGCTCTATCTGCAGGTCAGTCTTGATTAATCCTTGCTGCTTTGATTATTGTAAATTTCACAGTAATCATGTTAAGAAGAAAAATCACATGTACTAATTGATAGTTCAAAACTCACACTTGCGGAAGACATTGTTATGTATGAAAATTACTGGTTGGATCTTCCTCTCCTTGCTCCTCAAAATAATCAGCTGTCAATGGGCAAGCCATAACTAATATGAAGAGGAGAGGGGACCTAGCCATTATATAGAAAATTATAAAGCCGACCTTACCTACTCTAACCCTAATTANATCAGTTGTCAATGGGCAAGCCAAAACTAATATGAAGAGGAGAGGGGACCTAGCCATTATATAGAAAATTATAAAGCCAACCTTACCTACTCTAACCCTAATTATGGTTTACATAATTCCGACACACATACTTAAAATTACCACATTATAATAATATAGCTCGTAAGGCATACAACGGCTCAAGTGATCACTAACATATTGAGCATAAAAAAGTATTATTGCAAATCATACATCTAACCTATAAACTTCGCAATCAAATGAAAGTTCATATAATAAAATCATTCTAACATTCTCCAACTTGGGCAAATATTTGAATGTTATAGAACAGAACTTTTAACCTTCAGGTCAGACTACATAGATAGCCATACAAGTATAGCTGCAATCACAACACCTTACACAACATGATTCGGTCCAACAAGAATGTTAACATCGAAAATGGAAGTCGTTACACCAATCAAACGATGTAAGACCATTCCACAGCTATAAATGCCAACATCCTTATCGACATGGATCCTCATCCTCCAACCAATGTAGTAGTATGTAGTATGAACTTAGACCAAATGTGATAACAAAGTGTGCTCATTCATATCGGTTCGCAAAATGTTTCTAATCAAAATGAACCACACGTTTCTCAAAGAGACTCATCTTATATCTTTATTGTCATATTTTGAGATCAAAATAATATCATAATAAAAGATATGAGTTAAATGCATGCACAAAATAATATATGGATATGGAAAAATATATTTTATTATACTCCTTGCTCCTCAAAATAATCAGCTGTCAATGGGCAAGCCATAACTAATATGAAGAGGAGAGGGGACCTAGCCATTATATAGAAAATTATAAAGCCGACCTTACCTACTCTAACCCTAATTAGGGTTTACATAATTCCGGCACACATACTTAAAATTAACACATTATAATAATATAGCTCATAAGGCATACAACGGCTCAAGTGATCACTAACATATTGGGCATAATTAAGTATTATTGCAAATCATACATCTAACCCATAAACTTCGCAATCAAATGAAAGTTCATATAATAAAATCATTCTAACATTCGCCAACTTGGGCAAATATTTGAATGTTATAGAACAAAACTTTTAACCTTCGGGTCATACTACATAGATAGCCATACAAGTATAGCTGAAATCACAACACCTTACACAACATGATTCGGTCCAACAAGAATGTTAACATCGAAAATGGAAGTCGTTACACCAATCAAACGATGTAAGACCATTCCACAGCTATAAATGCCAACATCCTTATTAACATGGATCATCATCCTCCAACCAATGTAGTAGTATGTAGTATGAACTTAGACCAAATGTGATAACAAACTGTGCTCATTCATATCGGTCCGCAAAATGTTTCTAATCAAAATGAACCACAAGTTTCTAAAAGAGACTCATCTTATATCTTTATTGTCATATTTTGAGATCAAAATAATATCATAATAAAAGATATAAGTTAAATGCATACACAAAATAATATATGGATATGGAAAAATATATTTTATTATTGGAAGGGGTTATACCCGAAGAACATATGGGTTGCCTATGTACCCCGTAAATGGATCAAGTCCAAAATGTAGTTCTCTTACATAAATAACTCACACTAACCAAAAAATCAAAAGTTTCCACAATACCCATATTAGCAACATGTGTCGTAAAAATTTTAGGAGCGAGTCCCTTAGTTAAAGGATCTGCAATCATCGCCTCTGTATTAATATGCTTTATTGTCATCTGCCCTTCCTTGACTTTGTTTCTGACCACCAAATATTTGATGTCAATATGTTTCGATTCACTACAACTTTTATTATTTCTTGAAAAGAACATTGCAGCACTGTTGTCATAGTAAATAGTGATTGACCTCGAGATGGAGTCAACAACTTTCAGCCTATAAATAAAATTCTTTAACCAAATGACTTGAATTGTAGCTTCATAATATGCCACAAATTCAGTCTGCATAGTAGAAGATGCCACCAGAATCTACTTAACCCTTTTCCAGGAGATAGCACACCAGCCAACATGAAAATATAACCCGAGGTTGATTTCAAATCATCTTAACATCCAGCAAAATCTAAATCTGAGTGACCTACCACGTCAAGTGATTTGAACGCTGGGAAGTGAGCATGTAACTTTCAGTTTTCTTTAAGTAATTCATAACTTTCTTAGCCGATTTCCAATGCTGTTGTCATGGATTCGACTGAAACCTATTGAGAACACTGATTGCATAAGCAATATTCGGTCTAGTGCAAACTTGAGCCTACATCAAACTCCACACAGCACTAGCATATGGTATCATCTTCATAAATTCTCTTTCTAGCTCATTTCTTGGACATTGAGCTTTGTTAAACTTATCCCCATTTATAATAGGTACATCACTAGGTGCACATTTCTACATATTAAACCTTTCTAGAACACGTCGTATATAAGCTTTTTGAGAAAGTCCCAACACATCACGATTTCTATCACAATATATTTCAATGCCAAGCACATAAATAACTTCTCCAAGATCTTTCATTTCAAAATTAATAGGTAACATTTTCTTTGTCTCATGAAGTAACCCCAAATTGCTACTAGCAAGTAAAATGTCATCAACATGCAGGACAATGTAAATAAAAATTCTCCCATTGGTTTTGAGATAAATATATTGATCAACTGTATTTTCAACAAAACTAAGAGAATTCACAATCTCGTCAAATTTCAAATACCACTGTCGTGATGCCTGCTTGAGGCCATATAATGATTTATTCAACTTACATACCAAGTTATCTTTCCCTTGTCAACAAAACCTTCAGGTTATCTCATGTAAACCCTTTCCAAAAGAACTCAATTCAGAAAAATCGTCTTAACATCCATCTGATAAATCTCCAAATTATAATGTGTCACAAGTGCCACGATAATTCGAAAAGAATCTTTGAATGAAACGTGTGATTTTTTTTTTATTATAATCAATATCCTCTCGTTGAGTGAACCCTTTTGCAACCAATCTCACCTTCTTTCGTTCAACATTCCCTTTAAAGTCCAATTTTTTTTTGAAGGTCCACTTGTTATCTATGACTTTAGCATCCGAAGGAAGTTCAACAAGTTCCCATACTTTATTCTTTTCCATATATTTTATTTCATCTTCCATAACATCTATCCGTTTATGTGATTCAAGACTTGTCAATGCTTAATAAAAAGTAACAGAGTTAACAGTATGCCCAATATTAAAATCAGTCTCCAACAAATAAGTAATATAATCATTGGGCAATGCAGACCTTCTTTCCCTTTGCGACCTCCTAACCCGTGGCTTAGGAATTGACTCAATTGTTGTTGTTGGAGGAACCTGAAATTCCTCTTGGTGTCCAAGTTCTTCATTAACAAGTTCAGCTCGTTGAGTTATTACTCTCTCGTGTATAATAGGAATTGGAACAATAATTAGATTCGGTTCAACAAAAAATTCCTTCAACGTAGAACTTCCACTATCACCAAAGTCATTTGTCAGAAATTTAGCAGTAATTGATTTAACGATTCTGGTGCCACGGTTTGGCCAATAGAACTTATATCCTTTTAATCTGTCTAGGTACCTAATGAAATAACTATGACTGGATTTTGGGTCTAATTTATTCTCAAATAGATTATAAATTCTCACCTCAACTGGACATCTCCAAACTCTAAAATGAGCCAAACTTGGCTTACGTCCTGGCCACAACTCGAAAGGTGTCTTTACAATAGCTTTACTCGGAACTCTATTCAAAATATACATAACAGTTCTCAAAACTTCGCACCATAGATATTCTGGCAAATTTGTTCTACTCATCATGCTCCTGACCATGTCTTTAAGATTTCTATTACGTCTTTCAGAAACGCCATTCTATTCAGGTGTTCTGGCATGGTGTATTTAGCTACTATGCCACAGCTTTGTAAAAACTTTGCAAAATCACCCATGTTTTGACGAGACTAGTCATACTTCCCATAGTACTCACCACCAAAGTCAGATCTTACAACTTTGATGCTTTTCCCACATTGTTTCTCTACTTCCACTTTGAAAATTTTGAATTTCTCAAGTGCATGGGATTTATCATTAATTAAGTAGATATATCTATGTTGCAAGAAATCATCAATAAAAGTTATAAAATATTTTTTCCCACATACGGTGGAAGGCAAAGGTCCACTAATATCAGTATGTACTAAGTGCAAAATATCATCACTCTTAATAGGACATTTCCTAGTGGATTTAGTCAACTTTCCTCTTACACAATCCACACAAATGTCAAAACAAAGAAGTTGAGAGAGAGAGAGAGAGAGAGAGAGAGAGAGAGAGAGAAGTATCTCAACTTTAACCAATTTCTCCATCCTATCATTTGAAATGTGACTCAACCGTTTGTAACACAACATAGAGGATGATTCACGAATTAGCAACCTTTTCGTTGACACATTTGCAACACAAAATACTTCACCAAACGAAATCAAAGAACAATTTATATAAACCATCGCATAAGATGCCATTTCCAATCAAACGAGAATCATAAAACAATTCAACAATTCAATTACCAAAATTAAAGAAGAAACCAAAAGTATCAAGTTTCGATATAGAAATTAAATTCCGTCTCATTATCGTTACAAAAATTGTATTCTTTAAAACAAGAGAAAAACCAGACTCCAAAGACAACTTCACTATTCCTATGAACTCAACATTCACTTGAACTCCATTTCCAACGCACATATTTACTTCATTCTCACTTGGTCTCTACTTGCTTGTGAACCCCTGCAAAGAATTCTCTACATGGATACTGGCTCCCGAGAAGACTCACAAAGTAAGGTCAATGAGATACCTATGGAACTCTTCTTCTTCTCCAACCAAGTCTTAAACTAAAAACAATTTTTCTGCCAGTGATCATTTTTCTTGTAGAACTTGCATTGATCATTTTTCTTTATCGTTCCTTTGGGACTACCAGAAGTGTGACCTCCAAAATTTTTATTCTATTGATTGTGGTGTAATTTGTTGCCCTTGTGGAATATAGACTTATGGTTATGAGATGACCCCTTGTTCTATGGTGGTTGAAAAACTAATTGCACAGTTTCGATATTTTCACATCTCAACCTATACTCTTCTTGGGCACATACAACAATAAAGTCATTTAAATCTCATTTATCTCTTTGAGCACTATAAGCAATTTTCAGCTGATTAAACTGGCTCGAAAGGCTATTCAAAACATGATAGACCAGAAAATGCTCAACAATGAAAATTTTAAGAGCCTTTAATTTAGAAGATATATTAATCATCTTCATAACGTGCTCCCTAACTCCCCTTGTATCATCATATCTCATATTCATCAGTTTGTCCATTACATCTTCAATTTCAGCTTTATCAGACTTAATAAATCTCAATCTTATGGTATCCACAAAACCTTTAGTATTTTCATTATTCGGAATATCACAGATAATGGAATTGGATATGGAGCGCTAAATAATTTTCAAACAAAGTCTATTAGCTTTTTCCTACTTTTCATACTTAGCTACATATTCAAGATCACTTTTATTTGTGGATTTCGAAAGCTGCTTCTCCATTGCAAAATCTAACCACAAAAGACCAAATACTATTTCTACATTTTGTTTCAACCTCACATAATTATTTACAGTCAAGATTTCAATAGCAGACAATTGATTCGAAAGAGATGAGGTATTTAAAACTATGGAAATATAAAATAACATATTTAATATCATCCAAACATAATGCAANATTTTGACCTATACATACACACATATATAAATATTTATTTATATAACCCACCCCCACCTCCACGCTCCACCACCCCCATCGCTCCGGCGACCGTTCCGGTACCGGAGACTGCTCCGATTCCGGTGACCGTTCAGGCGACTGCTCCGATTCCGACGACTTAGGTTACAAGTCACAGTCCAGGTCACAACTTAGGTCACAGTCCAATTCACAAGTCACAGTCCAGGTCACAACTCACAGTCCAAGTCACGACTCAGGTCACAAGTCACAGCCTAGGTCACAACTCAATAATTTTAAAGGTCACATACTATTTTATTGGTCACGAATCAAAAAATTACAGGTCACGGATTAAATTTTAGTCACAATTATAGAATTTTAAGGTCACAGATTAATTTTTAGTTACAAATTGTAGAATTTTAAGGTCACAGATAGTCCATTCTGTGGTTACAGTTGGTCACGAATCACACCAAAGTTCAAACAACTGTCGCTACCACATCCGGCAACTCACAGCCTAACCCATTGCCACAACCATGCAGATCAGCTACCACAACGCAAACACCACCAAAAAAATGAATCGAAAAATACCCGTCGAAACTCCCGCAGCCAAAACCGCCACCACCACCGCATCCTAACCCACTAGATCCACCACCATCACCACAATAGCACAGATCCGCCACCACAACAGCGTAGATCTCGAATTTTTTGGTGACCCAAAGGGACGGCAGCCTTGAATTTTTTGGTGACCCTCAAATTTTTGTGCAGTCC